AAAAAAAAAATCAGCTCTGTTTGACATATTTTTGCAGAAGTTTCCAAAGTGGCCCAGGCAGCTTTCGACTCTCCATGGAAGCAATGAGGCACCCATTTTGCAGATATTGTTGGCGTAGCCCAGATTCTCCTTCAGAATTTTTGAAATTTACATGGCATAAATGCCGAAGGTTGCATCCAGGTCTTCCAAGGTAATTCCGCCCCTTTCATCAACAGCCGCCAAAGAGGCGGCCAATAGGCGGCTGTTGATGAAAATGGCGGAATTACCTTGGAAGACCTGGAGGCAACCTTCGGCATTAATGCCATGTAAATTTCAGGAATTCTGATGGGAAAGCTGGGCTACAAAAAAAAAAAAAAAATCTGCAAGAAGGGCGCCTCATCTTTTGAGTGGAGAGCAAAACTCTGCCAGGGTGAATTTTGCAAAACATTCACACAAAAAATTGTCAAATAGGGCTGATCATTCCATGTGCCAAATAATATGTTTTCCCTAAAGAATATTTTTTTCAGCTCAATTGTACGCCATTTTAATTAATGNCAAGAAGGGCGCCTCATCTTTTGAGTGGAGAGCAAAACTCTGCCAGGGTGAATTTTGCAAAACATTCACACAAAAAATTGTCTAACAGGGCCGATCATTCCATGTGCCAAATAATATGTTTTCCCTAAAGAATATTTGTTTCAGCTCAATTGTACGCCATTTTAATTAATGTTCTGAGAACTTTCGTTAGAACCCTCGTAAGCTCGGGTAAAAAAAAAAAAATACGAGATGGGCATCACCCCTTTTGCGTAAAGAGCAGAAAGCTGCGTAGTCTTATGCAAAAATTTGATGAAAAATGTCGAACAGGGCTGATTTTTTTCTTCGTGCGCTAGAGATTGTTTTTTTTTTCTGAACAATAATTTTTTTCAGCTCAATCGTATGCCATTTCAATTTACACCTCGAGAACATTTCTAAGACCCCTTCAGCTCAAACTTCCTCGAAGTGATTTTCTACATATTTTCCTCGTTTATTTCTTTAAACATTCATAAACTTGAATTTGTAAAAGCTCGGGATTCGATAGGTACATAATAATCCAATTCTCACGCGATGAACAATTTGTAATAAAAAATGCGAGTCGGAAAACTCGAGCAGAAGATGACAAAGCAGACTCAATAGAGGGCAAAAGTTTCTGCTTTGCAAGGCACATTGCAAATCCAACTCTCAACAAAAATAAAGTTCGCCGACGATTCCAAGTCAATATAATTTGATTCTCAACGACAAGCAGTCAACTTTTTTTCGAAATATTTTTCGGAAGACATCTCAATCACAATTCCAGCGAAGGCCCACATGAATCATCACATTCCAAATGAAATCAACTCCTACGTAATTACAGTATAACTGGATTTGAAAATCTTATTTAAAGATACTGTATAAAAAAATGAAATGATGTCGAATACAGTATCTTGGATGCGCATGGAATTGCAGCAAATGTCCTTTACCTATTTCAAATACATTTCTCAAGGAATCATCAGCAAAAAAAAGAGGTTGACTTTGCCAAAGACACTAAAAAAGGTTCAAGAGTGCGCATTTTTTTGGACCATCCCATGAAAAAACATTTTCGCGTTTGAATCGAAGACAGTCCATGATTTTCTTGTTAAACTCCTACAAGTAAAAATCGATTTAAAAAAATATTTTCAACTACACCCGTCAAACGTGAACGTGAACCAAAAATCCACGTAATCATTCATGATCATCCAGAAAGGTCGTCCAAGATTCCCAACACATCTTCCTCCCCAAACGGGAGACGACGAGTCGCTTTGCAATCAAAATTAAATGCAAATCTACGGCTGCCTTTTTTCGTCATATGCAGCACTGTCGACGTCGACACCGACTCAAAGTCCTTGCAAATTGAAAAGGAGGCGTGAAAGAGACAGAGAAAACATGTCGCATCGTCGTCGACGTCGGTCGGTGTCGCGACTGTCGCAATATAAAAGGAGTCAAGAGACACGGTTCGCCTCAATTCGCTCTTGTTGCCAGGCGTCGGCACAAACGACACCGTCATCCTCGACGTCGACGTCGTCCTCGCTTCCAACAAGAAAAAAGCCCGACAAGGGCTACCACAAAGTTCAATCAAGCAACGCTTCGTCCCCTAATCTGCACACAAGTTTACTTTTCCGGACTCGAAAACCCACAAGGCTTACAATAAAAAGTGTGTTGAAAACGAAAAGAATTCATTTTCCACGCAATCCTCATCTTGCAAAAAGTCCAATCCCATGGTACAGTATTTCATTTTCCAACGGAGATTTATAATTTCAAATGAGAAACAAAAACTGCGTTTTTTTCTACAACTCCGCCCACCCGCAAAAGTAAGCTTCGAGTGAAATTCCAAATCTAGGCAAACCCCATTCAATATCATAATACTGCACTAGGTTTTGAGGGGGTGGGCGAAAAGAAAACTTAAATTCAGTAGGGGGGAAAATTAGGGTATCGGTATGAATTGGAGACACCATCGCCTTGAGAGTTTCATCGCATAATTCTGAACTATTCAATCATCTCCTCCATTTCTTCCCATACTTTTGAATTCAGGGTGAAATTCAACCCTTCATCAGACGAGTTCACAAATTACTGCCCACTGCCAATATTCCCTGCGATACTGCAGAATGGAAAACAATTGCAGCTATCCTCGCGAAGCAACTTGACAATTTCGGCTTCGTTCGACATGTGTCTCAGACTCAATCTCAAACATCCTTTTTATTTTTAAATGAATGGCGAATTCAAGGCATAAACGTGTGCAAAATGAAATATACCATTTGCATCAATGCACGATTCCTCCTTAAAATAATCTGAGTCACAAATATGACAGACCATTCAGAAAAAAAAAATAAGCAGTCCTTTCATGAATAACTTGACACATGATCATATTCCTTTGCAGAATCTTTCAGAAATAATTTCGCGAAGTAAAGAAAATTTATATAAAAAAATAAGTCATTTGAATTGAACAATCCGACTTGGAATTGAACAATAATCCGCATGCCGACACGCCAAGAAAAATAAGAAGGATAAAAAGAATGAAAAACAAATCGACGTTCCATGCAGCATGAATCATTCAAGAAAACGCAAAAAATAAAAAATAAAACCGTAAAATATACTACAATATAATACAAATAAAATGAATACAAGCAGCATCGCTGTCAGCCCACTCCCTTCGCCGCGACTGAGGAATCCGACTCCGAGAAAAAATGGTGAAAATAAAAATCCGCGGCGATTATTCTCAGAGCCGGATGCAAATTACACAGCAGTACTGGCGAGGTTCTTTTCCAGCAATCCTGTCTCTCGCCATCACTCACGGCATAACCTGACACGCGCAAGGACGTGGCACAGTCGGGACAGGAAAATTAAAATGTAAATCCAACAAAATAATAAACGTACAGTATATTTAAAAAGAAAAAAAGACACACAAGAGGAACAAAACTCCGCAAAGACCGGATCTGATTCGACGCCTGACTCTTGACGGGGTCCGCCACAATGCCCCGGGCAACAACTCGTCTCTCGGAAATCATCATCATCATGGACACGAATAAAACAAAATTACAATGAATAAAATGAAATTAACCACAAGTTTTGACAGGTTTGCCTTAGACAAGCTACCATTGCTGGTGCTACTCGGCCATTCACGTTACAATAAAAAAAAGATTGATGAACTCTTTTACAGACAGATCATCTCGTTCAGACCATTACAGGGATGCCACGTTTCTGACCAGTGTAAATGTCTCTCCAAGACAGTAACATTTTCTTCAACTTGTCGTCGATCTGTTTGTTTTTCGGCGCGTTATCAGAATTTGCAGAGAATTCCCACTTGGCCCGTCAGTTGATAGAACCAGAAAGAAATGTCAAAAAAACTGCTCATGGATAAAGGTACAAGTCCTAAAACCGCAGAAAATACACGATACTCTTTTGGACGAACGAATGGAATTCTTGGGCACAAACTTTTCGTTAATCAATTGAGAATGCTAAAAATTTGAAAACTACAGATGAAAATGGCTTAAAATGCAGCAGTCGACAAAAAATGCCACGTGCCAACCGAAAGGATCCTCGTCGAAAGCAAAAACGGGAGCATGTTTTTTTTTTTTTTTTTTTTGCTTACTTCGTCTGTATCAAAGGTCCATGAAGAAACTCATTTTCGCATATTTACATATTGTCGCTATGGATTCACGATTCTTCTCCTCACGATAAAAATTTGTTTTCCTAAAAATCGAGGAGACGTGTTTCAATTTGAATCTCTCCGTGTCCAGATGTGAAGTAGGGGTTAATTCAAATTCGTCGGAATAAAGAGAAAAAGGGGGATTCGTAACAAGTACAAAAAGGGGGGGAAACCCCCTTCCCCCCACCGAAATTTGTGCCTGCACCCGATGAGGAGCTCAGCTGACGCGGAAAACTGTCTTTCTTTCCCTTCCGTCCGCCAATCCTTCGTTCGTGTCCCATTCAGACAACATACTCTCTCGCTCAAGTACCGGCGTCCACGCTCACCTCAGTACCCAGACTGACACGGAAATGACACACAGTACTTTCCCCAGGGTTGCCGCATCCCACCCGACACTTGCTCAACCAACTCGCATTCTTCATGCCATTATATAAACTCGTGCAAAAAAATAAAAATAAAAGACATGATATGCACACGTTCAACAAACCCAAGTGACATGGAAATTTCAAGAAAAAGGCAGCAGGACAAGCGGAACTAAAGCACTAGAAAACGGTGGTTTCCGTGATTCTAGGGGAAGGAAAATTTTCTGCACTCGCGCTGTGCCCCCTTATGCAAAGAGTACACTTCGGAAAAAGGTTCCACGAGGCGACTTCTAACACGAAGTGAACTTCTAATATTGTAGCAAGACTGAGTTTGCTCCGAAGTGACGAACTGTCTCCGTTACAATTTTCAATGACTGCAAACCTCACGAAAAACTTCCACCTTTCGCCTCAACATAGCTTCTCAAGCATTGTACACCCCATTTTTGCAAGTTTTCTGACATAAAATGGCCAAACTCACCTCATCGATGGTAGAAAATAACATTGCCGGACAATGATACTGTACCTAAATAATATCATTTTGCAGTAGTAAACATACTGTACATGTTTGAATACCGCAACATTCGTCCACATAAACAGAAAGGGTTCTCATCTATAAGAATCATCTCAGACCTTCAAATCTTCTGAACCAGTGTTCCCCAACCTTTTCGGGCCTGCGGACCAGCAAATTTCCACAACAAAAAAAGTTCACGGACCAGCAAATTCCCAAAAACTTTTCTGCGGACCAGCAAAGTTTCATAAAAGTTTTGAAGACTTCCTAAAGTTTTGTTAGAATGTTATTAGGCAGGTATTTAAAAGAAAAGTGCAGTTAAGAATTCCATCAAACAATTGGAAAGGTAGGCTTAGAGAAAGGTTTCTCAGAATGCAAAATTGATATATTTTATTTCAGCAGGTGAAAATTTGTCCGAAGTGTCGAGAAAAAAAACAAATTTTCTTTTCATCTGATAATTCAACTGCCATTGTCCTTCCGAAATTTTACGTGAAGAGAACAGACTTCATCCCGCCTTTTTAATGAATTTATTGCGCTAAAAATTTCCCACGGGTTGAGGAACACTGTTCTACATGGGTGTTGTGCGGATGTTTTTTTTCTTCTTTCAACCTAGTTCCAATACACAGTATCCGCACCCTGAGCCGCGTTGCCCAGAGTTGGTGACCTCACGACCGCATACCTTTACAAAGGGTTTGGCATCATTCCCACAAGTCCATAAAGCCTTCAGCAACTGCATGCTTCTGAGCTTTTTCATAGTTGGCATTTTCTCTTTTCACAACATTTTATTAACAAACAGCAGAATATACTGTAACCCATACCTCGTCTTATGTTGCGAAAAAGGAGTCAGTCAGTCAACTTCCCCAAGCATTTGGTAGCATGCATCCTTTTAAATAAAACTGTGTTTTTCATCAGCTATAGTAAACGAGACAATGATGTACTGTACAGTGAAATACCGTTACAACGAAACCGTTGGGACCAGTAAAATCTCTTCGTCGTCCTCGACGTCGAAAAATTCGTAGATGAAAAAACACTTTAACCATTGTGGCTATTGAACAGGGACCTAAAAACTATTTTTTGCGATCGATTGTTCGTTATAACGACTTCATACACTGTATGTATTCATACAGGTCATTTTTACAGGCGTTCATCAAAGAGAAAATGTAAACCTTCCAACATGCAAGTCATTTCTAGGATAACCAGGGACAACATATATTCATACGGTATGTACTTTACTTGTATTGAATTATGTACATCATCAAAGAGAGAGAAAAAACATGTTGAGGCATTTTATCTTTCCTAGGAATACCTGTTGACATGCAGGGAAAAAGTTTCAGTTAAAACGGATACGCGATTTTTTCAAATGTCCTTGCTAAAATTCCGTCGAAAATTCCGTTTTTATTATTTTCTCGAAGGGTTCGATATAATGAATTCTTTCGAGTTTCCAATAACTCAGTATTGTATCTTGTTGTTTTGTCTCACATGATTCCATTGAGACGATCAGTACAGTGCGAACTGTATATCCTCTCCAAATATTATGTTCAGGTGAACCAGGCTTTTTTTTCTTCGTTTAAAGCTCTCTAGAATATACAGTACCGTATATTGTATACAGTATATCTCTCCCTCTTACTTTTCCACACCCGAGTCTCAGTCTCTGACTCTTGAAGGCAACCCTGGCTTCAAACACGGGTTCTTTCTCGCTCTCTCTCTCTCTGTGTGTGTCTCTCTAGACAGGCAGCAGCTGGAGCCGTGGGAACGGCGTTGCGAAACAGTCGCCAGGCATCGCGAATCTCCAGCCTCATTAGCATATCTTTTTTCCCCTCGCGCCTAAAAAGCCTCCACGCAACCCAATGCTAATCCGCTATCCAACTTCTCTTCCGCTCGAACTCCATCCGCGGGGCTTTAAACCGATCGAGGGAATCACGCCGAGGGAAACACAGTACTTGTACAGTATTCAACATACTGTACTGTACATGGATGTACAGTACCATATAATTTCGCACCGTCCTGATATTGCACTCGATTCAATTCATCTGACTCACAGCGGACGGAATCAATGTACATCAGTACAGAACCAGCACCAGTTTTACTGTACTTGCTCGTTAAAATGGTCCCATCCATCTGCATTTTCGATTGAATCCAGCTTCAAGGCTGCTGCAATGGTGTCAATCTCAACAACCAAACTGACCTCAACCTTTTTCATCACCTATTTAATCCAAGTTGAAAAAAAAACACCCGAACAAACTTACACTCAACTCATGCCGAAAACGTCATACGGAACATGAACTTCAACTTTACTACAGTTGAACCTCGATAACTCGAAGCTCCATGCATCAAATCAGGATGAATTTTCCCATCCTATTTAAAAAAAATATATATATAATTCCATTAGTCTCCGTTTTGAGTCCTTCATACAAACAATGCAATACAGAACTTTCTTAACTTGCGGGATCAAATACCTAAAACTCTAATTTTCAGCAGGACTTTTGGCAATTATTTTATTAACGCAGAAATGATAAAGTGTGACTAAAAGTTACGGAAGGACGTGAAAGAATAATTGAGCAAATGAACCCATGCCTCCGAGTGCAGCATCCTGTCAACTCATTTGACAATAAATTTAAAGCCCAGAATGCCAACAATTAGAATTGACTTTAATTGTTATTTCTTTGTCCCAACAAAAAAGCTTGTTTCCCCAACTGGAAACTTGACATTGGAAACGTACCTACGTCAAATGTTTGTGCTAATCCCTCGAAGTTCGTCTTGAAGAATTTCGACTGTATAACCACGTCATACCGAATCCAATACTGTATTGCACTTGCATGATGACAAACCCAACACCGCCGTCAAAAACTTGAATTAAATTTAAAACTCGAGTTGTAACCACAGCAAAACTCTTATGGGTCGAGAAACTACTGAAGTACATCAGGATCTGAAGCACTTAAATTAATTAGATTTAAAATATCCTAACCAAATCGATTACCAATATTTGATACTCCGAAGGTAGGTTTCCGAGTGAGCAAAGTTATGCAGATGCGTTCTGCAACTCTTCCATGTAAGAACCTGAATACAGTATTTCGGAAGACCCATAATGTGTTGAACATCATTTTTTGAACGCAAATAAAAATGAGGATTAAGCCATTCCCTTCTTTTCTCGAGCACAAAAAACATTGTTTGGCGAATACAAACACAGAACGTAGAAAAAATAATCACAGAGTCTACCTTGAGCTAGCAGTTCATCAGATCCCAAGCAAACACAAGTAAGACTCGGAGGAACACAAAATGAGATTTTTCAATACCCACGCAAACTCTACATTAGTAGAGACGAAAATCAAAACATGAATAGCATATTTCAAGGTAATGTTTTGAAGTAGTCGCATTTGAAAAAAAATACTTGAAAATTAATTTCGGGGTTTTCTTCTCTTTCTTCATTTAGTTTCTCGACATTTCAGTGGAAAGGTGAATTTTTACATGAATAATGAATTCATTGAGCATAATATAAATCGATAAAACTAGTTTTAAAAAATTTACTCGGTATTGCGTCAGAATACAGTCTTCCGGCGCGAAGTTTGTTCATCAGATTCCCAATTTGACATAATTAACAACTTCAGCGTTCATTTCCCCCGATTATTTTGTCCTACGGTTGAAATTCAGAAATTCGTCCGTAGTTTAAAACGAAGAACTCATTCAAGACCTTCAAATTAACAAATTGAAGAAAACAGAAAGGAATGCATGGTTGGCCAACTGCTTTCCCAATTTTCTGCAAGATATGAAAATTAAAGGCACACCTCAGCCGTCTGAAAGATTTGGCAAGACCCCAGGAGAAATATAAAGAAGAGTAAAATTAATTTTTGTTCCAACGAAGTTCTCCAATTATTATGGTGCACACGCTGAGACATGAATCAAAAAATTCATCCACGGAACGATTCCGGGAATGCAAAAATTCCTATCCAACACGCTTTTTCCTAGAATAGTTTTCAGCAGGAAACTTCAGTAGCATACGAGTATTTTATCGGAAATTCCCACGCGATTTTTCCTCCCATCGGCTGCTGCCATGATTAGTTGGCCATTTACCCAGTAAATGAGACGATACGGACGGAGAACCGACGGGTAGAAAAACACCGGCTTCGCAAATACCGGCTCGCGAAAGATCACACGCTTCACGGACAAAAAACCGTACTCAACAGATATATTGCCCGTCCATCAACTCATTCCAACTCCTCAATCGCGGAAAAGAAACTAAAAAAAATTGGAAACGTTGTTAGAAACGAATTATCGAGCTTTTTCCTCGTGTTCAGTTGGTGAATGAAGAATCAGCCGTAAAATCGACTAATTAAGAGAAAACATAAATACTGTATTTCGACCCGTGATCGCGGAAATCCCCGAATTTCCAACCCGACAAAGAAATCATGTGAATTCCCGAAAATTTTCCAACACGTACTGTACAGTACATAAAATCAAGAATAATAACTCACCGAGCATTTTCAAACGTAGCTGACGCAGTTTTGTTCACCGCAGCAAACGTCACCCCAACAGCAAGACCCTCTGCAAGGAGAAAGTCTTCAAAATTATACTGAACTTCAAGTTCTTCAACACAAAAATGGACCAAAAGTAAGAGAACATTTTCTACAATCGAATTTTTCCCAACTTCGACTAGGATTCGAGGGGATAAAAAAATGCGTGAAGTTGACGAAATACACGATGGTTTGGCTGCACCGTTACAAAGTATAATTGTTCCCTTCCAGACAAATGCAGATCATTCATCTTGGAATCATGAGTAATTTGAGGATTAGAAATGGAGTACTAATATAACTATCTAACCGAGACTCGTTCAAAATAGGGCCAATCCAAATAAAAAGACCAGGTACACAAACGATTTTGTTTCGGCGAAATCAATCTCGTGAGTCAAAATAGTTTTCCCCACCTTTTTGGGCCCAAGTTTACATAAACTTTTTGCAGACCAACAAGAAATTTATAAAACCTGCCGTGAAGAATTCCAACAAAAACTTTTACTTTATAAATTAATTAATTTATAAATTAATTAGTATGTGAGAAAAAGAAAAAGCCAACTTTTATTTTTCATCAAATAAATTCAACTGCCATTGTCTCTCCGAAATAGATAACAGATTCAATTACTACCTTGGATACATTTTTTAGTCTGAAGAAAATTTTCAGAGGACTGGAAAAAAAATTATTCTGTGGACCGGCTCCGGTCCGCGGACCACAGGTCAGCCCACTGGTCTGAACTGCGCAGTTAGGTTCGATTAAACTAAGGTTACGAGAAGTTAACTTGAACTGAGCCAACTGTAATTATTCAAGCTCCAAATCGAATAAAGTTTAGTTTGCCGAAACCAGGATAAGTCGCCCTTTTCTCGCACTGCCACTACACCCTGAGGTGGTGGTGGTGTACAGAAAGGTGATTCAATCTGAATCAGGGAAACGACAGTCGGACCTGGGATGTTGTGAATGGTGATGGCCACGATGAGCAGCATGACGCGACGCCAGCTCACGCCGTGCTGAGGGACGGAGTCCGTCTCTGGCTGCAAATCGCCGTCGCTCATGTCCAGCTCCCCGCTTTCCGCACGCAACAACGGGTGGTTCTTCGCTCGCCGTCGCTGGCTCAACTCGCCAGCAGATCCGTAACCTGCAAAGCAGTCATCGACTGTTTCATCCCATCCGTCAGTCAGTCTGTCACTCGTCCTCTGCTGTCGGGACAAGACAACAAGGCACGCATGAGAACGAAAAACCCACCATTCAGGGTTTTTACTTTACTCGAAAATTGCTCGCTTGAAATACTTGAGGATAGCAAAACTGTGACATTTCAACTAAATCTGTCCTTGAAAAATATTCTGTCTCTGGAAGAAGTATTACTGTGCAGCATTTTCGATTACTGCATACGGCACAGGTGACTGGATTCCCGTTACAGTACAGTAATGCGCATTAGAAAATGTTCTGATGCACTATTATGGACCTGAAGTGTATCGATGTTTACATGCAAACAACGACACATCGCGAATAGAGCCTGCATCTTTTGTCGCTCGAATCGAAGCAACATTTTGACCAAGGATTAACCAGAAAAGTACAAAAAACGAAGTTGCTCGTCACATTTCATTCCGAATGGTCATGCTTCTGTATTTTGTGCAAATCACGCTTCAACTTGCCTTTGATCGCCGGTTGAATGATGATGAACAAGTTTACGAGATATTATTTGTTCAACGGTCGAGGGGAGGGGGGTCAACATCGAAATTTTTCTCCGCCAAATAAAAAAATTAACGAAACTTATAGCGGGCATTTTTAAAGAAGTCTTGTTCTTGAATCTCGGTGCTCAAAATTATTCAGGGAAATATACGAGATACTCCTATAAAATGAACAAACGGGGATCCATCCTGGGTCCTCCTCGTACAGTAATGGGTTACTGGAAAATACCCCGAGAGGCGGAAAACGTGCTTACCGGTGTACTCACTCCCTACTGCAGCCAGTTCGTCTCTGAACACAGACTTTGGCAAGGGTTCATCGTTTCGATCTCGCTTCTTCGTTCCACCCATGGCTGAAGAATAAGAAGAAAGAAATACTCCCGTCACCGCAAAAATTAGAAGCTACGAAATATTTCAGAGAATGTTCACAGGCTGCTTCATGAAAATAGAAAAACAAGGCCAGGGAAGATGAAAGTTTCCATACAACATCCTATAAAAAAAATCGATACATGGTTTCAAAGAGATTTAGTGTAAATTTACAGAAAGCATCAGGAGTTCAGAAACTGCATTAAAATCTTTTAGTTGTTCTAATCCTCGTAAGCTAGGTAAAAAAAATTTCCCGAGACTTTGCTACGATAGCTCTAGAAAGTTCAAACATTATTTTCAACGCCTGCGTTGCCCAAGAGCGAATTTTCATCAGAAGTTTTATTATTTTAGCCTCGCCCACAGCTATAATGATTGACCTAACGAACTAAACGAAAAAGATTTCAAACCCATCCAGCAACTGTCAAAAGATGTGATGCTCCGTCCGTGAACATTTGAAATTCTAGGCGCTTCTCTGATTTATCAATACAGTACTAGAAAAAGAGAAACCGCGCACGTTTTTTTCGGAAGATTCTCTTCGCAAAATAAAAAGCTTAGAAGTTATTACGCATTTTTTTGGTACTTATAGGCAAAATTTTCTTGAAAACCATCTAGTTCTTCAAGCATTGAAGGCCACATTCAATTTAAAAAAATTTTCTCACAAGATGTGCACGAATTATGAAAGACATTTCATAAGGTTTTCTCTATTCCTTCCGAACACAAAAAAGAAAATTCGGAACTTTGACCTCGCGGCCCAGAAATCACTGAAAAATAAAAAATCGAGCTAAAAATATAAAACGAATACAAAAATATAGGATTCAAGAATATTACAGGGCATTCTCAGAATGAATAACTAAGAAAATAAATTAATAAAAAAAATTTCTTTTCTCAGCGTATTGTGGAAAAATTCGATTTCACATTAGTAAACAGTTTCCATTCCCATTCTATAGAAGGCAAATGTTCACGACTACAATAGATGTTCCGTAGTACTCATTGACCAGAATAATGATTTCATAAAAATTGACGAACACGTTTCCTGCTCCAATCGAATATTTCAACGGTTATTCACCAAGTTGCAATGCAGCAGATTTGGCGTCCATCTTAGACAGGAAGACGTCAGCAAAGAAAACAAACAGACTCCCAAAAAAGAATCCGAATGCAACAGGCAAAATAGACGATATTTTCTCGAGCTTCCCTTCAGGTTCAGTCCTTCGCAAGACTGATTTTTCATTTTCAATGTAATCAAGGGCAGGTTGAAGAAGCGACCAAAACGTCGCCGCAAGCATCACCTACAGAAATCAAGAATCCTACATGCGAAAAAATTCAGAAACTCTGGTCAGCCATTAAACAGCAACTCACTCCGGCGGCAAATCCAAGGCTAGCGTCGAGAATTTTCCGCTGAAAAAGATATAAGTGATAGCTTTAAAAAGATCGGCATTGATCACGCTGATAATAAGTGTCTAATTTCAGAGATTTCAGAAACCTTGAAGCCAACAAGGAGGGATTGGAATGCAAGGAACATGAACTGAGCAATGCCGCTCACTGTCAGCATCAAACAGCTGAAATAAAATGCCTGAAATTCACTGGTCGCTTCTCGTATCCATAGCCCTTGCTTCTCTAATATTTCTTCCGAATGATCGAGCGAAATGATTCCGATGTCTGCCCCTTCCACCGAACTACTCAATTCCACTATAGCAGGCATTTTTCTTCGAAAAAAAGAACAGAGCTGAGAACAGTAGAGATTTAGGTTTACGCTGCTTGAACGAAACGACAAATACATCGCATCGTCAAAAAAGCAGGTCGGCTGCTCAAGAATCGCAGAAGACTGAAAGCCCACTGAAGCGTGAACGCAAGTAAAAAACAACATTCGTTTTTCGGCTAGATAACATCAAGTGGAAACAGTTAACGAACCGCACAGGTGTTACGCGGATTTCACCTGGCCTCTTATCGTCAATCAATCACAGAACTCACCTTCGGAAAGCGTGCCGGGATAATGTACACCATGCTGGAACCAAGCGCAGTAACCCCCCAGGTGAAAAAGGTTCCCAGCATGGCTTGTATTAGAGGGCTGTAGCCAGGAATCATGTCGTCGATCGATTCACGTCAAAGCATTAAAATAAACAAAAAAATATGAACCTGAGAGGATCAATAAATGATGAAAACCATTGCTCGCCAGAATCACATGCCAACGCGACAGAATTGGCCAGGGTAAAAAATCAGACATGACTACGCGTTGCGAATGATCACAAAACCCACGCACACGAATCGCGCATCCCAATTCAATCGAATTTAAACGACAGTGAAAACAGAACACGCTCATTCCAAATAAAAGAAAAACTTCTGCATGAACACTCGACTACGAACAGAACTACACTACCATGATATTACGAATCAGATTCCGCGAATGGACCGTCTATAGACTCCATATAGGTAGAAGAGGTGACAAGCTGATACACTTCAGCGGCACAGAGGGAATTCGTTGCAGCATGGATATGGACCACATCAGCCAAATATGTTTCGGAAAATTTCAGGAATAAACAACCAATTTCGTGAAGAAAAAAACTCTAAAGAGAACGTCACGGATATCAACGATTCTGGCGCGCGCGGCCATTTGTGCATTCATCAAGCGCTTTCTCACAAAGGGTCGCAGCGTTTTTCGGGGCTTTCGCTGCTTCACAACTCACATAATCCCGGCATCAGCTAAAAATTTAACCATATAGCATTAATTCAAGTAAAAAAAATATAGGGACGAAATGTGAATTTCAGTGTTCAAATGTTCGGAAGTATTTAAAAGCAGGAGAACCAGCATATGAAAACAAGCATTTCCCCAAATGAAGAGAATATTTCTTTTCAGTTCGATCATTCCTCACGTCCCTATTTCTTCTTGCACGTATAAAAATACTATATATCGCAAGAAACTACATGAACTAAACTTTCCCCGCTACTCCCGAATGATGAAGACAAATAAAGCCGGAATTTCCCCAGTCCGTCATCTTATGCACTACAAGACCGTTTCATCTGAGGTATCCGGTTGAAGTGGACGTGAATCTTGGCATCCTTGCAGGAGTAGCTTCTTGAAAGAAATCTGACTTTCGTGATGTCCGGAATGACCAACACAGATTCATGGAATTTCACTGTCTTCCTCTTGGAAATATGCAGCTCCGCTAACAAATCCACCTCATCGTCATTCTACACGCAAAAACAAGGTTCAGTAAAATTAAATCGAATGCCTACAATTTGAACAGTTGAGTCTCATAAAATAGATGCACAGACTAATGAACACATATCTGTAAAGTACCAAGATGAAAAAAACCTCTCAACAGGATTTCTTACTCCAGAAATGCTTGCATCAACGTTTCTTTGCTTACAGCCTGCACTTGTAGGGTTGCAACAAGGGCAGTGTATGTTCTTAAAGTACTTACCATCTTTTGATGCGCCGAAAAAATCTGGTAAGGCGTACAATTTCTTAAGGAAACAAAGTGAGGGGTTTTGCATGTACTTTCAATGAAAAATACTGCAATGCGAGAACATTGATACCATCTACAAATGTAATTACCGTGACCTTGAGATTCATGCCAACAAGGATTTTAAATGACTGAAAATCGATCAGCTAACTAGCAGACCAGGGATGAGTCAACAAAATGCCCGCTTTGAAAATTTGATCACGATTCTGTAAATTTTACGGGATATCCAGTACCTAGTGTTTCACGAAGTAATGCTTCATGAGAAAAATGCGTGATACATTTGTCACTCGTAAAGCACAGCCAAAAGTTAATTGTACCGATGTAGTACAGTAATTCTAAAGTGTAATGTATTCCTAATACATTTCAAGCATAAATAAAGTTGCGCAGAAACATCCCTCCCACATAGACAGTTGAGAATTCGACGAAGTCTTTCACACAGTTATCTTTTATACTTGGGAGGAAAAAAACTCTCACTCTAATTCGTTTCCTCCTTTGGAACTCCTCAGATTCTTTCAACAACAAATACTTGCACGCTTCCGTAAAATGCTCTTCTTCAGACCGTCGCCTCTTCAGCGAACGACAACTCAGAACTTGGTAATCTCCGTCGTCTAGGAACCGAAGGATTCGTCGCTCCACGCCATCTGCGCAAGTTGAACTTGCGCATTTCTTCAGCAACAACTGTCTCTCAGCAAAACTCAGATCACACATAGCTTAAAAAGGAGAAAACAGAATTCCATCCCAATTTTCTAAAACAAAACAAAAAACAGCAGTTCGACACTCACTTCGGAAAATTCGCAGAATTGAGCGAGAAGAATTCAAGATCCGACGAAGTTCACCGAAGATCTGCGACACAGAAACAGATCAACAAATGCACAGCAACATGAAAAATTTCTTGAAAAAAAATGTAAGCGGAGCAAAACGAATTTTAAAAGGATCCCTTCATTCACAGTGGCGGAGCCCACATTGCTTCCATCGCATCATCAAACACACACTTCTCACTCCAGTAAAAAAAATTTAGCACACGATACGAAACAATCATACTTGAATCATTGTAGCAGTGATCAGTTTCGAAAGTCAAACGCCACCGATGAAACAGAGAAACGCGAGATCATTCCTTTGCGTCATCAACTCCACCCGCTGTGATGGCAAACATTGCTTCCGACTCCGGAAGACACGGAGAATCGTAAACTTTGCAAAGTCGGGTTTCGCCTTTTCCCTTTCGGAAGTAGAGCCGAGTTGTGGATGCGTGGGCAATGATGTTCCCGCCAATGGGTTTCTTCGGATCCGGACAGAAAGTATTCATCCCGTCAACTTGCGCAACGACTTGATTCGTAATAACAACCGCTACGCCGAATTCATCTGCGAGTCTGTGCAGCATTCTTAAGAACCTTGCCAAGTGCATCTGCCTCGCAGACAGCTCCCCACGACCACTGTAGTCCGTGCGGTACAACGCAGTGGCACTGTCGACAACGATCAAAGCGTAGCGAGATTCAGCCATCATCGCCGCAGCTTGGATCAAGAGCTGTGACTGGTGGTCCGTGTTGTAGGCACGAGCATAGCCGACATTGTTCAGAACGTCTTCTTTGTTCAGAGAGAAACGTTCAGCAATGGTGAGCAACCTTTCCGGTCGGAAAGTACCCTCCGTGTCAATAAATAAGCATTTCCCTTCGGCGCCTCCTTGATCTACAGGCAGTTGGCATGTCACAGCTAGGGTGTGGCACAGTTGCGATTTTCCGGTGCGAAACTCTCCAAAAAGTTCCGTGATAGCACCAGTTTCTACTCCTCCGTTAAGTAGTTTGTCCAGTTCCTTAGATCCAGTTGTCAAGGATATTAAATCTGATCGTTTCAGATGAATTTCCGTCGCGAGGGTGAAGCCAATGTACATGAATTTTCCAGCTTCTGTGAGAATTTTATCCGCTTTCTGCTCACTGATACCACGCACTGCTAGAAGAGACTTTCGTGGGGCGTAAAGAAGCGAGTCGATAGTATGGAAGCCTGCCTCTTGCAGCTTCTTGACGTCACTCGCTGCGATGCCGCGTTCTTGGAGCATTGTAATGACACGGATTCCGGGCGGGGCACCGTCCTGTGTTTCCTCTTGCGTTTCCACTTGAGACGTCTCTTCAACTACTGGAGCAGCGGACACTTTCTTTTGAGCACGCGCTGTAGCCATTTTTCTCAGGACGACGTATCTGTTGAGAAGAATTCTTCATCGTAATTAATTCGACTCTCACCAGAATCACGAGGCAAATGAAATTCGAATTCTTCAAAATAAAATGTTTGAATATATGAAATAAAATGAATGGGTTTCGATTCGTATAACAATCATTAACAACTGATGTGATTGAGGTCTTCATCGGGATGACCCTTATTTCAAACTGCACAGATCGTAACGCGCGCTATTCCACCACTGCACGGGACAACGCCATCTTGAGTTTTTCACCTATGGGTCTTCTTGTAGAGTTCCTCAGCTCGCCATACGAATACTGTACTGTACTGGATGCAAAAGCGTCCTTGACTACTCTTGTTTCAATGCGTTCTTACTTTAAAAACTTTAAAATTTTGGCCTATCTGCAGTGCGGCGATATGATCAGCATCAGCAGAATGAATGATTGTGTCAGATGCCACGCCATGGGTATCTCAACCTGGTGGATAGGTATCTTATTGTGATGAACAGCTCAGCGTAACCATGGAATACAGTATATCATCTGAAAATGTTTTGGACTGATGTTGAGCAATCAACAGGGTGTGCTGTTCAGGCATACTGTTTACATACACTGATCTTAACATCCAATCCCAGCTGAACAACATGTGCTATTCATGAAATGACTCATTGATGGTGTTGGGGTGTGTGTGTGTGTGTGTGTGAGAGAGAGAAAGATAGTGAGTGGACAGCCCCCTAGCGTAGGGGAGTGGAAGTGAGCGGCGGTGGACTTCCAGGGTTGTTTCTGTACGACAGTTCTTTCCTTGGAATGCAGCGCCTCACGTGAACAGGCTAGCTTTAATATTGGGTCGTATGCCAAGCGATTGCGGAATTGGGAAGTTTCTCTCGCTTATCTTGGGAAACGGCGTCTGCCGACTGCTGTGCGATTAAACCATTAGGCAGAAAGTAGGCGAATCGTTATCTTGATTTTAAGTGTCTCACGTTCAATCCCTCTGTGGGCGAAGAAGGGGGGAGGATCAAAATGTGTGTGTGATATCCACGCCTCCTGCAGGAATAGTCTTACAGATGTGAAAGGAAGTTCAGGGTGTGTCCCGTGAACACAGTCGTCCATGCAGTTCGAGGCGTAGTAGGACCCNTTAAAACCTATAGCTGTTATTGCGGCACACTCTTGTCCTTCTCTACCCATTAAATCTGATTTTTCAGCACTCCAAAGCTATAATGTTTTGCTCAAAGTTCGAACCACATTTCCTAGAATATGTTTCACATTTGAAAAACCTATGGAACAACCCATCTTATCATTTCATAGGTATATGGACAAATCATTTTCTTAGGACTGTAGTTAGTATACCTGCTACACCCATTCCTGAATAAGCAATGTATTTCCGATTCTTGAAGTCACTCATACACGACCGCAGGAGAGAGAGTGTTGGGTGCCGGGCGTGAGGGGATGGGGGGCACAGGGGAGAGGAGTTCTGGCGCCTCACGTGAACAGGCTAGCTTTAGTATTGGGTCGTATGCCAAGCGATTGCGGAATTGGGAAGTTTCTCTCGCTTATCTTGGGAAACGGCGTCACGGCTGACGACACGCTAATTTGGTAATCCGTCTTTCATCCGCTTAGCAATAGAACTAAAATTCACAGAGTGCAAGTTAGGGAGACACCCGCTTCTTCCCCCCTCCTAGTTTTACACACACACTATAGCACGCCTCCTGCAGGAATAGTCTTACAGATGTGAAAGGAAGTTCAGGGTGTGTCCCGTGAACACAGTCGTCCATGCAGTTCGAGGCGTAGTAGGACCCTTCGGTCAAGTTAGGTTTCTTGGCCTTGTCGGTGGGAAGCGTTGATGGGCATTGGTTTTATTCTTGAATATGAATCAATTATCTGTAGTTCGACGGAAGGTCAAGGGTGGATTTACAGTGCTTTTACCAATGGCCACCAAATTCCCAAGGTTTTCCGAACGCGATCTATAGTTTCCTTTTTCATGTCATGATTAGTTGATGTTTGCTCACGTGCTAGTGTTAATGTTCAGGCGGAGTTTCCATGGTGAATGGGTCACGTTTGAGATTCGTGATTGCTTGTGACTAAATTAATCGGCGTCCAGCTTGAACCTACCGTCTTCGGGTACTTCGTCAACGCAAGCGCAAAGTTTAGTGCGTGCTACCGCAGCTACAGTTGAAGCTAGCGCTTCAGGACTTTGAGCAAACCGTAAGACCTGAAGCGAGGATGTTCTTTGCCGTCGCCCGTTTCAAGGTGAGTTCACACTTTGAAGATTAATAAGAGCTTTTGAATCTCATCGTTGACTGATCTCAATAGAATTCCGTTCGAGCTGGAGTTTATCCCGCTCCGCTGTCGAGTTGGGTTTTAACGTTTGCTGTAACCTGTGGTTTGAGTGCCGTGGGTGTGGACTTCTTCGGATTCATTCATTTTCTCATGAGCTTATCACCATTGTAAGTAATTTGGAGCAGATTTGCAGAATTTGACGTGTCGTTGGACGTGTGTCGGTAGTAATCACATCTCGCTATATTTTATCAAGCTATGATGTGTTTTAAATTTTCGTACTATTTCTGCAGAAATTTGCACTTGTTCGGATTACCATTGGCATGGCTCGTGAGCTGCTCAATCGTTGCCACACTGTGGTGGATTTGTGTGATTTTATTCTTCCGTTACGGGCTGAAACTTTTGCTGATGTACAAGGGTATGCCGACCTTTTATACCCAACAAGGGTATGCTTCTTAATTCCTCATAATCAAATCTCGCACTTCTGTTCCAGGATGGATTTTCGAAGTTCGTGGAACGAAAACTTCACTAACCACCAAGTTGTGGATGATGTGCTTGAGGCCATTAGCGAACGTTACCAAACCAATGCTGTACTCTTACCAACAGAGTTTACCAAGATTGCCTCTACCTTCATTGGAAGGGACGCTTGAGAGAGTAAGGGACCTTTTTTTCATTCTCTCCGTGCCGTTTTTCGAAATAAAAGTGACTTTTTGTTTGATCAGTTTTTAAGATCTGTGAAACCGTTGGAAACAGCGGAAGAATTTGCGGAAACCACCAGGTTGGCCGAAGAATTCAGATTGGGTTTAGGGAAGAAACTACAGAGATACGTTTGGCTCAAGTCATGGTTCGTACCGCATTTAACTTTTCTGTGGTTGGAATGTTTCTTAGACTTTCTCTCCAGGTGGTCTACTAATTATGTTTCGAATTGGTGGGAAGAGTACGTGTATCTCAGAGGACGATCGCCGTTGATGGTGAATTCGAATTTCTACTGCATCGACATGTTGATGGAACCTTTGACGAATGTTCAAGCTGCCCGAGCCGCCAGTATGATTTACGGAGCTCTTTTGTTTCGTCGTCTTCTGGATCGACAAGAACTTGAACCAGTGTGTTTCGTCCTTTGGCTGATTAATCGTTGATTGCTCAGCAACAATCTGTAACCCTTTCAGATCATGATTTACTCAATGGTTCCGCTGTGTTCATCACAGTACGAGCGCTTATTCAACACGACGAGAGTCCCTGGTGTTGAATCTGACACAATCGTTCATCGTGCTGATGCTGATCATATCGCCGTACTGCACAAAGGCCGCATTTTCAAAGTTCTCGTTTACCATCGGGGTCGGCTTCTAAAGCCGTGTGAGATTGAAATGTAAGTTGTTCATATCAGGTCCAAAATCTAGGTTTGCTCGATGAAGGCCAAGTCCGCTCAAATGTGTTGAACCATTAATCCTAAGCGATCCTGATTTTGTACCGCGACGTTTGAAACACTCTGACTTCTGATTTGAGGAAATCTTCCGATCATATTTAGTATGTTTCAGAATCAAAGAATTCGAATTTCTAATTTATTTGGTGATTTAAAATTTCAAATCTTGGACAAAATTGCGAAAAATTTGTAATTAATCTTTGTTCTTTTTTTAGGCAACCGCAAAAGATTCTGGATAATCCTGTTGATCCAGCCGATGGTGAAGCAAAGCTTCCTGCCCTGACAGCAGGTGACAGAGAACATTGGTCAAATACCAGAGAGAAGTTCTTAAGGAGTGAATCGGATTTCCCTCAACGCTGTTGAGTCGGCTGCATTCGTGGTGACATTGGATGACAAAGAGTTTTACTACGACCCTGTAATTTGATCCTGTGATGAAAATGACGAGTTGTGGTTAATTCGATTGTAATTTTTCAGAAAGACCACACGAAACTGGACAAGTACGCGCATCAATTGCTGACTGAGAGTGGTTGCGACAAATGGTTTGACAAGACATTCAATTTAGTTGTCGCGAAGAACGCAAGAGTGAGTTGATATCTAGATTCTGACAATTGCACATTTCTTGAAAATGTTTTTTTAATGTTTTCACAGATCGGCTTCAACGCGGAACATTCTTGGTAAGAAATCCTCATTCCAAATCGGAACGGAAATAATTTTTACTTCATGACAAAGCTGACGCTCCAGTTATGGGTCGTTTGTGGGAATACATGCTGGCAACGGAAGTGGTTGATTTGAAGTAAGCGTCCAGTCTTCCGGTAATGTGTGTTTTGGTGATTTCTACTAAATTTCCTTTCAGGTACAAGGAAGACGGACATTGCGATGGTGAGCCCGCATTCGATCCGCCAGAACCAGTGAAGCTGAAATGGCAACTTCCTCCCGAATGTATTGGCAATATTGAATTCAGTTACAAGGTCAGTTATTTTTACAACAGAAATTTGAACCCTATTGCTTGTTGAAGACCATTATGTGCTACTCGGTGAAAGTAATATCCCATTACTCCTGTCTGTGAAGCAACAAATATTGATTGTTCCGTTTGATGACGAGGAAAATTTCGTTGATACAGTATAACAATCGTTTATTGAATCAGATTTAAAAAAAAAAAAAAAAACTATGTCATCAGTTATATGTATGCTCGGTGCTTGAGGTCTTCAGACGTTCACGAACTTCTACAGGTTGCTAGAGGACTAGCTGATGACCTGGACCTTCGCTTGTATGTCCACGATTAATTTGGAAAGGGAGCTATCAAGAAATGCCGCTTGTCGCCCGACGCATTTGTACAAATGGCTTTGCAATTAGCCAGTTACCGAGTTAGTGAAGAACTAATCTCTTAAGTTTAGTTATTCACTGTCATAGTTTTAGTCGAGAAATTAATTTCTCTTCTCAGGACTCCACCGGGAAATTCTCATTGACTTACGAAGCATCCATGACTAGGATGTATCGCGAAGGCAGGACTGAAACTGTCCGCAGTTGCTCAATCGAGTCTTGTGCTTTCGTGTTGGCGATGGAGAACCCTGAATCCACAGGAATAGTCTTAAAGATGTGAAAGGAAGTTCAGTGTGCGTCCCCTGAACACAGTCGTCCATTCAGTTTGAGGTGTAGTAGGACCCTTTGGTCAAGTTAGGTTTCTTGGCCTTTTCGGTGGGAAGCGTTGATGGACATTGGTTTTATTCTTGAATATGAATCAATTATCTCAAGGTCGACGGAAGGTCAAGGGTGGATTTGCAGTGCTTTTACCAATGGCCACGAAATTCCCAAGGTTTTCCAAACGCGATCTAAAGTTTCCTTTTTCATGTTGTGGGGTCGTGTCCACGCAGCGTGACCCGAGCGCAGCATCCTCGCTTGGGTATGTTGTGCAGCAACAGCAGCGCAGGGACCCGGAAGCGGATAGGCACCCGGTTTGCTGCATTGCGGTAAACTGGGTCAGTAGCTAACTGATACGGATCTCGAGCAATGAAGCCCGGATCTCTTAAGTTTAGTTATTCACTGTCATAGTTTTAGTCGAGAAATTAATTTCTCTTCTCAGGACTCCACCGGGAAATTCTCATTGACTTACGAAGCATCCATGACTAGGATGTATCGCGAAGGCAGGACTGAAACTGTCCGCAGTTGCTCAATCGAGTCTTGTGCTTTCGTGTTGGCGATGAAGAACCCTGAATCCACGGTGAGTTTGAGCATGAATTTAGTATATACAGTACTGTACTTGCATTTAGAACTGATTATTTACCACTATCGGGGTCGAAATGTACGTAATACAGTATCATTCATCCGTATTTACATCGTGCTCAACGTATAGGAGATCGAGGCTATGGTTTTTTTAAATTTCAGGTCGTACAATTCCAGGCTTTGTGACCAAATTCTGCTTTCTATCATGCATTTTTTTTTATTTACACCAGGATTTCCTTGTCTCTTCCCATGAGTAGACGGTCATCCGTCAAGAGAAGTTATGGTGCATTTTATTTGGGAAATACTGTTTCTTTTCGCTCTGAATTTTGACTATAAGATTGCCCTAAATCTTCATGCTTTTCGATCTTACAGCCAAGCGAGCGTTACAAGTTGCTCAAGGACGCTTGTGATCGACACCAGCTGAGCTATCAGGCAGCGATGGTTGGAGAAGGCGTGGACCGACACCTGTTTTGCCTTTATGTGGTGTCCAGATACCTGGATGCGGATTCTCCCTTCCTGAAACGTGTACTGAGCCAACCGTGGCGCCTGTCAACGTCGCAGACGCCCCACGGACAAACTTCGAAGCTGGACCTGCGCAAAAACCCGCACTGGATTTCAGCGGGCGGCGGATTCCGGCCAGTTACGGACGACGGCTACGGTGTATCTTACATCGTTGCCGGCGAGGACGTCATCTTTTTCCATATTTCGTCTAAGCGCTCTTGCAATCTTACTGTAAGTCGCTGCGGTTCTTTTTTCTTGTCTTTGAGGGAAATTTTTACTTTTTCGGGAATAATCTGATGTCACTTTCGTTTTACTGTATTGGAGGTGCTGCTCTGGTAAAAATTTTTGTCGAATGTTTTTCTATGGCTAGGTTGATGCACCAATTCTCTGACCTGAGAGGAAAATTTATATCTTTATTTAATTATTCAATACTTCACATTATTTTTTTATTTACCGTCCAAGCATTAATTAAAATGTCGAAGGTTTGCTGAAGAATGGCGCGTAAATAAACTTTAGGCGGGTGGAATCGCAATATCCAAGAGGAATAGGGGAACACATTTTTTTCTCTCTTAAAGTATCTCGTTGAGAAGATTCTTCATTTCGATGAGATTTGAGATTATTTAAAATTAAATTAAATAAATAAAAAAAATTAAAATACCTTATGTGCACCCATACGGGGTGAACCAGAATTTTATGGAACTCGAGCTTACTGTCCCACATTGATCCCACCTGAAGAAGAGAAAGATTTTTTTCTTCTTCTATGAAGGCCATCATCGAGGTGATGGCATCTTTTGAACGTGATGAAAAAAATTCATATTTTAATTTTTGGCATATCCTGATGCTATTCAGCAATTATGTATTGCATTGTGCTTGTAGGATTCTACTCGCTTCGCTGATAGTGCCCAGCCACACCTGGGCTATATTTGGTAAAATATGTGAAATTCTAAAACTAAAAAACTGCCCAACAAATTGATATACACTACCAACATAGAATACCCAACAGACTACTGTACCCTTGCCTGCCACCTACCCTACACCACAACCTAACCTACCCTACAAACTACCCTTTACCACAACATGCCCTACACTACAACCTACACAATGCTACACTGTAACATACCCTACTCTACACTAAAAACTGTCCCCCCCCTACATTCAAATGTACCATACCCTGAACTACACTTTACCCCACAGTATATCCCACCATATCGTACAACCTAACCTAGAGAGTTAAAATTTGTGGTTCTTAAATTGAAAAAAAAATTTGGTGGGAACTGCAAGTGGATAAATTTGAAAGTTGAAATTTTCTTTGAGATCACACATGGAAGAGAGCATGACCAGTTTTGTGGCCCATTTACACCTGGGTGCCTTAGATTTAAGAAACATTAATGATCCTAAAGCTGGTTACTTGTTAAACCACTGGTAATTTTCTACTTGTGCTCAATGCACCAGTTGTGGCCCGGTGGGCCACAACTGGCTCATGAGCAGGGGAATTTTATCACTTGTCCAACTCAATCATAAAAAAATTATGTGAAGAGTTTTACAATATAGAATTTATATTACTGATATTGAATGTTTACATGTCAAGTACCATCATTATTTGTATGCACATTGTATAGGTTTGGTTGGGCACCACACTTGCCAAATTTAATAAATTTGCTTGCCACTTTGCTAGGTTTGTAACATTTTAATGAAAATTCTGGTGCTTCATTCTCTTCAACTCCCTGAGAACCCCCCCCTCCCATGAAGTAAAACATTTTGGCTACATTTGTGAAAAATTTGTGTTTTTCATCATCACTATATGTCAATTCTTGATATTTTTCAGAGTTTACAAAAAGAAAACATGGAAAGATTTTGTTGTTTTTCTTGTAAGTCAGTCAAATATAAAGATTTTTCAATCTTAAAGAAAGTAACATTTAGAAAACATATGTGCACTTGCATAATTTGAAACAATTTGACAATTGACTGAAAGTTCAATTTTTTGCAAAGTTGACAAATTTGCAACTGATGCATTTCAAAAGTTTTGTTTGTGGTGATCCTTCCGCTTCCACCTCCTAAACTCCTTCCCAGGAAGCAAACCCCCCCTTCCTTCCCTAATGAACAGAGGGTAGGGACCCCACAGAAGATAACCCTTAAACCCACTGTATATTAGATGTAATAGTGAACTGTTGCGCAGGCCAATGGTATGATACTTTTGATTTCAATAACTGTTCATAACTAACATCTTCAGCCTATAATAACACTTCCAGCCCAAAAAAATCAATTTTGAAATTTAAATGCTCATTTCTTGCAGAAATATAAAAATTATACAGGAGATTTCAAATTTTTCAGGATTCCCAACTTTAGCTCCCCAGGCATTATGAATGCCAATTTGCATGTTCAGTGAAGGTATACAAATTTTGCTATTTTTCAAGTATAAAATAATAGATTTTGGGAAATAATTATTTCACAATTTTCCAAACTGCAAATTACAAATATTTTTATTTTGCTGTTATCTGTTATCTCAGCCCAATTGTTTGGGCTGAGATATCATCCCCAGTCATTAGGCAACCCTGCTACAAATTTAGACCATTGAAACCCTTTCTGTGTTGTTGAAAACTCACCATGAAATATCTTACAACACTCTTGTGCTGAGGCTACTCAGCCAATCCTGGGTAATATTTCCTACACTGAAATCTACCATGTATAATATTCAGTATACAGTTTTTTTATACACCCAATGACCAATACACTAATTTTATTATTACTCACAGTACAAAACTACCAAGGATTTATCATGTCCACCATTCCTTGTCCTGAATTTTTTTGTGAATTCTCATTTGCAAATGCATGACTTTGCTGGGTAAAGGAAACACAGAGGAATAAGAAGGAACATTCCCCAGAAATGGTATATGGATTCAGGTTCAGGCATAAAGATTCACATCCAAGATAGAAGACAGAAAAGGTGTGGTTGGGAACATAGCATGCTGTGCAGTGGATTAATTAATCTCAGTGAATATTAGAAAAGCCTATTGAAATAAGACACATTGCCTGCTGAAGTCACCCTCACAGATTATTAGTTTGATGAAGGTTTGGTAGTATTTAAAAGGACTGGATTTCAAATTCATCAACTGAAACTTCTTTGCCCAATTTTGTTCTATTTCTAAAAAGGTTTTTAAATTTTCTAAATAACGTTATATTTGCAGATAATTTTAACAAATTTAAATTTTTTTTTAATTTTCAGACTTGCATTTCATAACAATAAACAACTAAAAATTTCTTGCAGAATTTTGAGCACAATTATGTTGTACAAATTTGAATTTTTGGCTCATTCAGGAATTATATGATTACCCAAAAGGGTGTCTGCTTGTTCAGTAACTATTGAGTCGCAGGTTTCGGGTTATTGTTGGAATACCATATAATACAAAAAGATTGTTTGAGGGTTGAAAGTTGCTGTTAGAACGTATCTCACAATGGTAGAAACCCAATTAAAATATATTCGAACACTAAAACAAAAAAAGAAGTCGGATGTTCTTTCACGGCTAGGTTTTGGAAACCTTCTTGTTGGCAGAACTTGAAGACTGTGCCGATATTAAAGCAATGCACTACCTCTTGGATGTATTATACCCATCTGCTGTGGGAGCACAATATTATTGAAAAAATCAGTGCCCAAGAACTCAGATCTAGCAAAAACCTAGAATGATCAACCCAACTGAAATTCAGTAATTTTTTACTCTTCTTGCAGACAAATTTCTCTGAAAAAAAATCTTGTTAGGTGGCATTTTACCATTTGCCCGCTGAGGTTGGTTTTGGTTTTATTAAAGGTCATCAAAATGCAGCCTGAGCTGAGTGACCCTGGTCAGAGACCCTCTGTAAGGTGTAAACCCTATTGTTGAAAACATATCCAAAAATTGTATTATAACCGGTTGGTGTGGGGATTTTCTGAAAAAAATACCCTCCCTAAACTTTATACAAATATTTGATCAGGGTGCGCCAACAGAAATTGGCACGCTACAAACCTGGATACAATAAAACCATCAAAGGAACTCTTGCTGAAAAGAAACTAAAAGACAACACTTGTGTGAGGGAAAGACAAATGACCCATCAAATGGGCAAGTTTCAAAGTTTATGACTTCTATAGATGGCTCTCCTTCCCTCATGAGGGATGCAAACAAAGCAGTAAAAAGGTTTTTGAGTATAATCTGAGGACCAACAAACCTGGAAGTGCCTGTCAAAATGTTCAACAGGAAACTCCAATTTGTTACACATGATTCAATAAGGGAGACTGATTTCAGACAACAATGTCAAAATATATGATGCAACAGCTGTATCCTGCTGAACTCATATATACTCACAATGTCTCTCAAAAGAAAATATATGAAAGGAGGCCGAAGAGAAGAGTCAGTCAGTCAGCAATAAACCTACAGTCAGGAAAGATCAAATACTTTTTAAGCAACGCAAAAGTGTGAGACTTGTATGATTATTGTGCAAAACGTTTGCTTTTGTGAAGTGTTTTACAAATTGTATTGCAAAAAGAGTGAATCAAAGTTTGCGCATAACTTTTTGGCCAGTTGTGCACTGGCCAATTGCCATGTATATCTTTATTGTATACACACATCTAAAGAAGGAAATGATAAGACCAGAAAATTAAAGTTCTATTTATCAGAGACTGTAAAAATCTCTGCATTAGTATAAATTTGTACAAAAGGAAAGACAATTTGCACCCGAGTGAGGAATATTTTTTGGCTACAGCCTTCTGAGCTGCAGAAAAATAATCACGTTGCAACAAAGACGCTGGGACCAAGACAAAACTTAAAAAAAAAGCTTTTATAAAAGAATTAAAAAATGTGAATTGTTTTGGGTGCTAAGCATACATTCTTTGTAACAATTTACTGTACTTGTTCGAACAAAATTTGTTGCGACTCAATTCTACGCAAAATAGGAACATTCTCGAACTTTGGCAACTTATTAGTAGGTCTATTGGTTTGTTCGCTGAAATCTCGGCATTTTTGGGGAATGACTTTTTCGAAAATATTTTTGCTCACCCATGCAATAATGGTCAACTATACAAATAAGGTACAATAGATCACACCCAGAAACTACTTCCTTGCCCTTTTCCCAATACCAAAGTCACTTCCCCATACTCGAGAATTGAGAATTTTCAAAAATATTAGAAAATGAGTAAAGTACATGATTTCGAGGTTCAGAACTCTCTTTACTGCGGTCGGATGCTAAAAGGAACGCAATACAAAGTTCCTCTCGGAGCACTCGCGCAATCATCCGTAAACTCTCGGTTATTGCCATCAAACATGGCCATTTCTAAAGCTATTCAAATTTGCTACAAAAAGATTTCCACGTCGAAAAAGAGGACTCCTTTTCACGCCGTTCTCTCTCTCTCTCTCTCTCTTTTTTCGGAGGGAACTTCAGGATAACACGGCCAACGTTGGGGGAAAAAAATCCTTGAATCCTCAGCTGTCCTATTTTTACATACAAATTCCATGCATACAACAAAGAACGCTGCATGATGGCTTACACACTGAGAGCACCCTTTCGAATTCATTGACTTCGACTCCAACATGGGACACATCATCATCATCATCATGCACCGAAAATAATTCGAATCATTACAAAAAGTGGGACTTTATCCCTGAAATCAGAATCGCATTTGCTCCCGCACTTTCTGACAGCATTCGAACAATGTCGACGGAAAAGGCTCCGATGAGAGATTGACTATCGTATTTGGATTCCTGAATTTCTTTCGAAGAACCAGCAGGTTCTAAAAAGGTACAGTATACTGGTGCGATCCACTGAAAAATACGCAAATACTTTCGGGAATTATGAACATATGTACGATCAAGTTCTGGGCAAATGCGCGTTAAATTGTGAGAAAGAACGGAAGATAAAGTCCGGAATGATTCCGAGAACAACACACTTTTGGCAACACTGAAAGAGAGGAAATATTTCTTGTATTTTAAAAATAAATCTCGGGATGATTCATTCATTAACGCCTGTTTTGGACGCAAACTTTTTTTTTTTACAAGTATGCCTGAATCTCCAAACTCATCCTTTTTAAAGAATATTTTGAAGGCCATGTCATTTTTCTGTTGATGGAAGTAATGTTCATCAATATCCAATCATCAGTTCTACTTTCGGAAATGCACAAAACTGTCCCTTTATTCCTCCCCCAGGTGCAAAATACTTCTGTTTGCCAAAATTTTAGGCTTTTCCTCATTTTTCCAAAGTAGTTGTAGGGCCAGCTTCCTTTGAAACAAATTTTATACTGTAGTAATACGGCCATAATTCCCAGAAATAATTACGTTTTTGCCGGAAACGTAGCTATAGTGGAATCGCCGAATAAAATCGAAGATCTAGGTTGCGTTAAAAAGGGTTCTAAAAAAGTAGCTGGAAAATCCCCCGAATTCTTTTTCGAGAAATCAGCCCTACAAATATCACTTCTCTCCTCAAGGTGTCACCCAGGTCGTTCACTAATTCACTATTGCTCTCATGACCGGGCTGACTTAAAAAAAAAAAGAAGTTTAGCTGACTGAAGACGAAGAAGTGAAAAAATTGTTGACCTGAAATTTCAAATTCCTCGTGCGAATGAAGAAGAACAACAAAAACTGGGAAAGGGAAAACAAACAATTTTTCTATTGCGTCGGTGTTCGCCGACAAACCGGCGGAGTGACGTGATGTTGTGGGATCTCCAGACTGAGCGGCTGGTGTCGCATTTCACCGACAGGTGTCGTTGCGACGGCTATGGCGACTACCGGCGTCGTCGGATTTGGCGTCGCTGCCCGACTCGGTATGCTGAGAAGGGACCGACGTTCCGCCAGTGCAGACACGTCATCTTGCGAAGCGCGAGAGAAACTCAAGCGCGAAGATGCGCGACCCTCGTGTAGCTGAAGCGCGCTGCAGTGATGATGCATTTGCGCTGCTGGCAACCCTCCTGCGAAATTTTCGCACATTAGATTTGATAAAATGTACCCTTACGTAGGGCTGCAAGTGGAAAAACATATTTCTCTTATCACTTCATTGCACGAACTTTCTGTGTACACACGATCCTCAGGAAATGTTATTGGAACCACGCTGAATTGAAGTTCTAGAAATCTAGACAAAGAAAATCAGATCAGCGATGCCTGCGACCCTCAATGCAGAGAAAACTGATTGCAAGTTAAAATGCAGGTTATTCCTAATGGATTGACTCGTCTGACACGATAATCAAATACAACTTATCACTACATCACATCATCCAACATATTTTCTCAAGACCAACAAATACCTTCGAGTAAGACTTTCACCTGGATTTTTCATCCTAAAATTTGGATAAAGCCTATACAGTAAAGTATATAAAAGTAATATGCACACCTCGATCAAATATGAAATATTAAAGTACAGTATTTTGTAGATAAAGCACGCCAAAATTGGAATTTAGACTTGAACTCAACCTAAATTCACTTGATCTTCATTTGTCTCCATTTTCAAAGAAATCTTGGTTTGAATAATGGGCGAAAAAGTTATCATTAAAATTGGGTATTGAGGACAATTTAAATTGTGAAATAAAAATAAAAACGAATTTATACTGATGACCTATATGAAGCACCTGTTTTCACCTTTCTTTCTAGATTTAAAAAAAGTCGCACAAATTGTCATATTGACATTTGTTTTTTGCGATTTTCTTGATTTTTAATATGTAAAACTTGAGGAAGCACATGAAAGGGCAAAAAACACATTCATCTCAAATACCTGTTTCCAGTTACTCTTATACTGGTCCGGAATGTGAGAATATTACTGCACCTTAAATTTTTGAACAGCAATGAGTCTCTTGGAGGTTGAAAAACTTAATCAACTACTGTATATAGTACACTTTAGAAATATTAAAAGTGAGGCGAGTATATCACCTAAAATTAATCATTACGAAAAATCGCTGAAACCTGATGCGGGAAAACGAACGGATATAAAAACGATTCGAGCCACACGAATCTGACCAATGTAACATCTTATTGCAAATCTCAGGGTCTTTCATTTCTAATAGTTGTGTAAAGAGCATCCCCCTTCCTCCACTGTTATAGTTGAATGTTATTCAGGCACGTTCCAATGTTATGAAACTGAAACTCTCTCACAAAAATTGTGATTTTTATTTTCCTCATGTCCACCGTTCCCGTGATTGTTTTTTATTCTTGTTGTTGCTGGAATGGATGAAAAAAAAAAGAAGCAGAAGAAGACTTACCAGCAGAAAGTGCGCTGTTCGGATCACCATAGTCGTCTCTGCTTCCTTCCGAGGATTTGACAGGAATTTTCAGCTTTCCCCACCGGATCAGCTTGCCCTTCTTTTCTTTCGAGTCCACCATCCTGGATTGCACCCCAGAGCTTCTCCGCTCGTCCTGTCGTATTCGAGTTAGTCCCACGTCAAACAACAACGAACTCATCCCATATAGACCCAAGTTTTCTCCGTCTCGAGGATAACCATCAGCAGCACTTAACCAGAGCTTTCATATTTCTCAAAAGAAATATACAGAGCCTTTCGCAAAAACGTATAGATAGAGTCCACTGTCCTTCCCCGCCCCAGACAGTATATAGCAGTGAAATCGTTTTCCAACCAGCAGCGAAGTTCACCGACGGACGGGTTATTAACGGGGAAAACTCGACATAATTGGAATTTCATATCCCAAGAGGCATAGGGTTTTATACTCCTGGTATTACCTTATTGACTCCAGTATCACACAGGTGCATCTTTTTTTGTGTGTGTCAAATTCAACACAAAAAAGGGGAGTGCCATGTCAAGGGTGCCTAAGACCTCACTGACAAAGATATGGATTTTGGTGTAATAAAAGGTGTTAAACACAATGTGCTGTTTTCTGCCTGAGGGTTTAACCCTTGTGTGGCAAAGTCGGGATATTTTCAAAAGATGTTGTGCCACTGGGCACTGGGAATAAAAGAAATCCCTCCTTTTTTTTCACCAAGGGCTAAGTTGGGAAAAAGTCTGAGATTTCTTTCTAATGCTGCAGAAAATTTTCAACAGAAATTTTAAACAAATCCCAGGCTGGGTGGCGTTTTTTCATGCATTCCTTGCATAGGATTTGCATGGGAAAATCTTGGGAAGAAAAGAAAAATTGCCTCCCAGATTTTTCTCAACTTAGTCCTCCTCAACCTGGGCACATTTCAGTAACCTTGGGTCAAACTGAAATGGGCCGCCCCCCAGAAAAATCCCAACTCTGCCGCACACTGAGAAAGAATCCTCCCCTGTCCAAGGGTTAAAACTCCTCAACAAACTGTACATTCTTTCCAACAATGTCAGGTTCAGAAATGTTGCACACAAAAGCAGGTCTGGTCTAAAGTTTGTACAAGGTTTTCATCCACTGAGATGTGACTAATTTTTCTGTTTACAATTCTTGGTAATTCTTTTGATCAAGTGATGATCCACCTGATGGCATTATTCCTGAAGAAAAAACAACCGGAAATGCCGCAGAAAATTTTGAAATGAGAAATATGTGGCCTACGCAATAAAAATGGTAATTGAACTGAGTAAGAGAAATTTCTGCAAGCAGGACTCTGAAAATATGAGAGAACAAACAAGACCTGATTTACTGCTGAAAAATAATCATATCTTCTTATTAAATTATAATTTTTTTTAGTTTCTGCAGTGATTGTTTGTTTCATCTTTCTACTCCCAGACAGCACACAAATTTAAATAGACTATCCTATATCCCATATTTTAGATCATCTTTCTTCTGTTTTTTTTTTAAATACAGTAATACAGTATCTCATGTTTTAAATGAGGCATCCGCGTTTTTGGGCTCCGTTTCCCAAGGGGTAACATGTAATCCCTTTTCGAGAGTAAAGGACAGCCCGATATTCAGTGTCAGTGGTAATAAGTGAAGGAAAGTGTAACTTATACTTTTCGGACTGTAAAAAGTTGGTCGATTTATTAACTCACCTCAACGTCGATTCCTGAAACGGAATCGGGCACCGGAGCAGAAGTGTAACTCCCAAAGGGGATTGACGATCCCGCGTTGACGACTCTTTGCAGCAAGGAAACTTTCCTCCATCTGGACACAGATGAAAATAAGTTAGAAAATGAAATCAAGTACCGTAAATCATTTCGACTTGACAACCGTTAATTACATGAGTATGTACTTCGCAGTAATAAGTGCGAGTCGCGAGGATGAGCGTCTTCCAATAACAATCTTCCATGGAACACTCAACACACTGCATTTCATTCCAATAAATGAATTACTGGAATGAATCCGTGTATGCATAGGTGTCAGATGTCCAGTTTTATTTTGTGGGTTGTATTTTCTTTTATTTTTTTTTATCAATTTGTGCTCTGTTTCCTGCTCTGAAGTGATCAAATGTCATTGAGTGGATTTGGGTTGAGTGGGAAGGGGGTTTGGTTGTGGAAATCTTGATTGAGCCTTGTGAACACTGAAAAGCGGCAAACAAAGTGTTCTGTTCATTCATTTATTCATAGTTTCTTTTCTGCGCTGAAAACCATTCTTTTTCCCAGAACTTATTGAATCAGATTTTAGTCCGCGCCAAAACTTGTTTTCATCATGTGAAAGACTGGATTCCCTTTTTTCAAAGCATTCCGAAAATGCTGCGTTAAGGGACTCTCTTAAAGATGATCCGGCCTCTAAAGGCTGTTTGCTGTGTCCAATTCTTTACTCTCTTCTTTCTCAAATAATCGGCCCAACAAAAGTGGTGGCCAGTGGGTTTACCTCTACGAGGTCAAACCCTGGCATTTTTGTAATTTTGGGCACAGTTCCTTTTTTTTCTGAGGTGTGGAATTTACAAGTGTGTGAAATTGCAGCCTTGCTGCCCTTACTTTTACACCCAACCCTCCTCACCCTGTGGAAAAGCCTGTAAGTACTCACCTGCAATTCTCGTGTGAATTCTCTTTGGCACGATGAATGGTGAGGAAGGCGCAGTCTCAGGTACGTCTCCCATCTCAAGCCGTACGCGCAGTATGCACCAGCCTCCGCAAAGGCGTGGACCCCTACCCCTACCGTCGGGGCCACAGCATTGCGTGTCCCCAAGTCCATCAAGTGACGGCAGCCGCAACAGCGCGCGATCCCGGTCCTCGCATCAAATGCAACAAGCGCCACTTTTAGGCATCGAGCCACGATCTCAGTGTCCGGTGTCTTGCGGTGCTGCCTCGATTGTGGCCTCAAGTGGCCATTCCTTGGCATCAACAGCACGCCCCCTGCCATTATTAAACATGTCCTCTGCCTTGCCAACGCAGTGGGCGCGGTCAACCATATTTTACGGACTCCAGAACGTGGAGATCCGCAACAATGTTTTGAAAGCATTGTTCCGCAATTTTTTGATGCAGCCATGCATCTTATTGATCTGCCACCTGCTGCATTCTTGCAGCCCAAAATTGCTGCCCTCACGCAATTGGCAACCAAGGTCAACACACTTCTTGTGCAGTCCATGGATGTCATGACCGGGGGGTGGCCTCATCTCCGCCCAACTCAGCCACACGTCCTGGGGGTTGCCTTTCCCGCAGCACCTCCCACACCTGTGCCTCCTACACCATCAGTGGCGCATGCTGCACCCCAGCCCTCCCCCAGGGGGGCGCTGGTTCCCGTACTTCCGTCACACATGCCCAGCACGTTGCGCAGAATGGGATCAGCATCATCGCATCCGGCGATGGGGCAACTTGTCCCTCTGCGCCCTATGGCGCCCGCGTTGTTACACCTGCCAGCTCCGGCCAGCTACGGCAACTTGGAGTCTGGACCATCCTCCATTCTGCAATGGCAGGGCAGACTGTACAAGGCCTATCATCTTGCCCTCACAACATTTGGGACAGGGCAACCAACAAACCTGTCCCACCATGACCTTGTGAAGTCATACAAAAAGCAGGCTTGCGATGCGTCATTTAACAAGTTTACTGGCCAAGCGGATTTGAATTATCCGTTTGAGCGCCTTTGGTGCAATTTCATGCCAGTCCACATTATCCCGGCCATGCAACTCACGGACATTGAAGGGATTTGGGTATTGTTACTTCACCTCAATGATGAAGCCAAAGAAAACGTCAGCGCATTCGCGTACCAAGACGTAAATATTGACTATCTCAGCGTCCTTCAGGTGCTCTTTGCAGAGTAAGGGCAAATGGATGCGGTCTGCCTCAAGCTATACCGCAAGTTTGATTGCCTTCCGGCGCCCAACACTCTGCCCAAATTTTACGACTACTTTAATCATGTTGTCCAAATCACTGAAAAACTTAGCACAATTCAGACAGACATGAATTTTGTGCACCTTTGCATGGGCCCTGTCCCAAGCATGCATCTGGAACTTGGCAACTACCTGGAAGTGCTCCAAGCCTATATGGATCGCCACGCCCAGATGCCAGAACTTGACCCTGTCTGGGCAGCTTGCCCGCATCGACAGTACAGGTTTATATGCGCATACTTTGTGCACAAGCTCTGCATGGCAGAGGCACCACCTGTCCTTGCGTTTCAAGGGCGCAGCTGCCTTGGCTGACGGCACTGCTGCTCCCGCAGCACCTGCCGCAGCCCCTGCAGCGGCCCCACCTTCCGCGGCAGCTGCAGCACCCGCGGTCGCTGCCAATGCCAATCTTGCCAACACAGCACTGTCAACCTTGAATGGGAATTGACGGCAACAGCGAAACCGGAAAAATGGCAATCAGCAACAACCTTTTTGGCAAGGGCAATTGCGTTCCCGCAGCCCCCCACGCAAGTGGCGGCAGCGCGGATGCTCCTCTGACCAACAACGCAGTTGCTCCCCAAACCGGCGGAATGACCACAGTGGACAGCCACGCCGCAACAACGACTCCTGTCGCAACAGGGACAACAATTCTCGGGACAATTGCCGGGACCAGCAGGACCATTTTGCGTGTCCCTTTTGCTCTGAAAACCACTCTGCAGCCCGGTGTCTTCTGTCAGGGAAAAACTGCACATTGTTCGCCAGCGACGGCTCTGCAGTAACTGTCTCTCACGGGACCACTGCGGGAACAACTGCCCATCACCCAATAGGTGCCGCCACTGCCAGTAAGGTTATCACTTGACAAAGTGCAACCGCAACCATCAGCGGAATCAGCAGCCCGCACAGCAAGGAGGGCCAGTGGCCATAGCCGCCCCAGCCATCAAACAGGCAGCGCCAGCAGCTCCCGTCGCACCTCCAGCACCGGCAGCACCAGCTGCCCCCACAGCTGCCATCGCCGCAGCCCCAATTGTGCAACAGCAACGGGCTGCACCAGCCGGCTGACAACCACCAGCAGCCAAATGCTGCGTTGTCCTGGTCGTCTCAGCTCCTCGGCCAGGGCCCATGTGCGCCTTCTTTGAGACAGCCGCTATCTGATTGGAGCCTGAAGGGCATACTGCGTATGCTCTCCGGGACTTGGGGGCCCAGCTAACGCTCATCTTGCGGGCCCTTGTCCAAAGACTAAATTTGGTCACAGAACCATGTCCGCCCTACATAATCAGCGGCGTAGAATGGGCTAATCCCGTGACTGCAACGGAGGCTTTTTGCCTCACATACCGGGGGGTGGTACCAACCTCCCCCAAATTTTATACGGTGGCACTCGTCGTACCTCACGTCAAGCCATGGAAGGGTTCTAACCCATGCGCTGTCCCCTGGTTGGAAAAGTTTGACCTGGCAGACAGGCGCATCCTAACAGATACGGTTCTGACCTTTGACATTGTCCTGGGGGGCAATGACCTGGGACCCTTGTACCAAGACATTATGCCTCCCATTTGTACTCAAGGGTTTCTTGGGGTGCCTACGCACCTTGGCATTGTTGCAAGAGGAACGTGGGCTGCCCAGCGAGCGCAAGGACCAATTCTTGCACCTTGCGTATGCATGGCGCTAGAAGCTCCTAACCTGGTCTCTGATGGTGAGCTCAACAGCCTCATACTGCAATACAAGTACCAGGATTGCATCAATATTTTGGGCAATCCAAGGGAAGAGCAGTGTTTGCAAGACGAACAATTTCAGGCATACCTCTGCCAACTTGTCATCAGTCCAGGGGGCGTGTCGTGCTGCCCCTCCTCAAAACATCCCTATACCCAGACCAATGTAAACCGAACCTGCGCACCGGGGCGCAGCAAAGTCAATCTTGCATCAAACTCCTCTGGGCTGGTGGCCCGATGGCAAAAGCCTACGAGGAATTTTTTACCAATTGGATTGATGACGGCATGATTACGCCCACCACAATCACGGAAATGAACCAAAGAGGCATTGCCTACACAGAGCTGCCCCATCATGGGGTTGCGCGGCCATCCAGCTCATTGACACCCCTGTGGGTCGTCATGGCTGGCAACGCAGCAGACCCTGGCAGCCTCTGGTGTAATCAATTATTTAGCAAAGGGGCCAATATCCTGCCCAGGATAACTGAGATTCTTTTGGGGTGGCGGTTCACTGAGGACTTTGCTGTTGGCAATATACGCGAAGCGTTTGTCCAAGTTGAGCTTGCCCCCAACGATCAATGGGTCTTAATAATTCGGTGGCCCCAGCTGCAACCCAATGGCAGCATCATTCACAAGTTTTTCCGGTTCCTACGCCTCCCGTGGGGCATAAACTGCGCACCGTTCATGTTGAACGCGGCAGTCCAATTTCTATATTATGAAGCGGTAACTCGCGGCATCATGTCCGCAGCGGAACAAGAGGAGATCGACGCTACAACGTACATCAACAACCTCCTCATCACAGGCGACCATCCCTGTGCAGTCGAGCGTAAGTTGCAACATGCAACTGCTGCCCTCAAAGTAGGCAGCTTTGATCTCACCAAGATTTAACAATTGTATCCCACAAACAGCACCCCAGTTGACCCAAAACCCTACAAGGTCCTGGGGGCCGTCTACACGCCGCAGGCAGACACACTCAGCGTGTGCACTGAATCGCTTGCCGCACTCCTCAAGTGCCCGCGAATGCAGAAGCGGCAAATTGTTGGGGTTGAGGGGCAACTTTTTGATCTTCCTGGGTTGATCACCCCTTTCATTACCACCATCAAGGCCCTTCGGCAGCGCTTCAACAAGCAGCACCCCAAGGCGCCATGGGACTACCTCCTCACCAAGAAGGAGACAAAGCCATGGCTTGACATTATCCGCCAAGTGCTCCAGGCCGAATCCATCAAGGTGCCACAAAAAGTTGCAAAACGCGTCAAGGAGCCTGGGGATATCCATGTCTTTTCCTATGCAAGTAGCATAGCCTTGGGAGTGGCAATCTACTTCACATCCATGGGGGACCGGCCGCAAATGTGGCTACTTTGGGGCAAATCCAAAGTCATCCCTAAAGCCTGTCGTCCAGAACCAGGCATCCCTCTTCCGGCATTTCAAATCAACCGCCTCAAATTGGCGGTTGATCATTTGCGCCATGGCGGCCCAAATGATGCAGGCGCTCTCCATCAAAGTGGATCTGCACTGGCATACAGTCCATTATTGGACTGACTCTGCCGTCACCCTTGCCTGGATATAGATTGCGGCAGCGCAGACTTACTGCTACGTGCAAACACAAGCACAGAAGATTGCCGCCAGCACGGCTGTCCACCAGTGGCGGCACACGCCCAGCATGGACAATCCGGCCCATCTGGCATCCAGAGGATGCGACATGTTGATGTTGAAACAGGCCACCCTGTGCAGTGGCATGGCCCAAAGTGGCTACCCTACCGTGCGCAGTGGCCAGCTGAGCCCCTCAACGTTCAAGCAAATCTGGCCCAACCTTGGGAAGACCCCAAACTGGCATATCAAGCAGAACAAACCACAATCCTGTCCCCTTTCGAGAAAGCTGGGACCTGGGAAAAAGCGGAGAAAACCATCATGGTGCTCTCCAGGTTCAAGGAGTACTTTACGCGCCGCCATTGAAAAGATCCAAAACCGCTGGCCCAGCAGGGCAGCGGCGCCTATGTCAATCCATATTGGCTTGGCTGGTCCGCCAAAGAGCGGCGCACAGCAACCAATGATGCAATTTGCATCCTTCAAAAGTTCTACGACCAGACGGCCTGGACCAATGTAACAAACAACCTCAAGAACAAGTGGCGTCCGGATCTCTGGTGGGACCCCACAACCTGCCTGGTCATGTCCCGCAGTCGGCAGGACACCAATGTGTCCCTACCCCAACGGCAACGGGGGCTTGAAGCCCGCAAAGAACTGATACACATTCCAGTCCCTCAAACGGGCAACATACCCCCTCCTGCAAGCATTCATCAGGTCATTTCATGAAAAGTGGCAACATGCCTCAACAACCTCAA